GTAAACCTTGATATGCAGGAACATTTTTTTACATCCAAGGTGGATATTGGAAACCCAAACAAGAAAAGAATAATAGCTTGTTGGCGTCCACATAGCCATAATTTCATGGGGCCTTCGAGAAAATGTGAAACGTTAGGTTACGCAACGATTTCGCCATCGAAAAAAGCAGGCCCCAGTCCGATGCACCTTCCAGAAACTACAAATACTTGCAAAAAAATGTATAGGCCACGCCAATTTGCAATTAGAGCCACGGAAACGAATCAGGGGGTGTTAAATGATTTTGGCGAAACTTCGCACAACTAAGGCCCTCCACATTCATCGGGATTCAACATTAATGGCTGCAGCATGAACATTCTTGAACATGGCAGTGTTCTATAATGGCTTAGGCAACAACACTCGAGGGCCTGCAGGCTTTTGTGGAATTCTCCGGCCTCTCTGATTACTTTGGCGCCACATGGTTTAACGAACCAGAAAGCCTTCAGGTCTAGGACTGTAGTTGTTTTCGCAAAATGACTGTTTCAGCAACAGCACCGTAGGAGAGCTTTAGGCAATTCTTACGGGCATCAGCAAGAGCATTGTAGAGCCCTTACGTTGCTTTAGTTGTTGCAGCCATAGCTTTATAGGTCGCTTGCCGCCGCCCTCTATACAAAAACAATGATTTGAATTGATTTTTTCTTAATTTTTGGGCGTATATCACTGGATCCAGGCCTGGCATTTCATTTTCTATTGGGATCTCGACGTTACGGTTGCTTCGATTTTGTTCCCCTCCAATTGATTGCGCGAAATATCTCAAGCTTGGCAATGCGAATATCATGCGTGACATAATGCAATATTGCCGCATGAACTGGCCATCATCCATACATCATGCAAAAGCTTTCGCATTCAATTGTAAAATCGGAAACATACATTCTTGAGCAGATGTGTGTCTTTGTCAACTCAAGAAGTTGTTGGTCGGTGGGTGGGTCGTCGAAGTTTGATTGGATCAGTCATGCGGAAACAAAAGCCACTTGGGCAGCTGGGCATATTCCGTGCGGCATAGCATGTTACAAAACATCATGTTAGATTTGTTGGCGCATACTGACACATTGTAGAAATCCATGTCTAACTAAACGCCACACGGTAGGAAAACATGTGATTGCATCATGCGCACGTACCCGCATGGGCAGATTTTCAGTTGTGCAATGCCACCGCCTTCCACACAGAAGACGTGCTTCGTTACGCCAACACATCCTTGGTTAACGCCTTGACTCTTTGGGTCAACCTTGACGGTTTGTTTGTTCTCGCTGGTCATGCTGTTGGGCGGTCGCGGTTGCAACACCCAAACAATTCCTGCTAGACGGGAGGGGTCCTTGTGCCGATTTGCTTGTGAGCCGAGAAGCAACGAAGAGCTTTTGAAACTTTGCGAGCGTGTGAATGAGCGAGATGTGGGAGCCGCATTGTTGCCAACATTTCGTGGGTCCAAGAACAGTTTGCCGAAGATACTGAGCTTGCTATCGGAGCGGCAGCGAGGTGACGCTATTGCTGCATTGCTTGAGGCCGCCCGGGAAAGCGGCACCATCACGTTGAACCAAGGCAACTACGCAGTTGGAATATCAACGTGTGCCAAGAGCGCTGCTTGGCGGAAAGCGCTGAGTCTTTTCGAATCCATTCCACTGGCACGAATTCGTCCAGGCGCTGCTTGCTACAATGCAACCATGACTGCTTGCGAAAAGGGCTGGCAGTGGGAGAAAGCCCTTGCTGTATTCGAGGCCATGACCGAGGACAAAGTTGCACCCACGATCGTCAGCTACAACGCGGCTATCAGCGCATGTGAGAAGGGAGCGGTGTGGGAGAAGGCGCTTCTGGTGTTCAACTCTATCGAAGGTTCGAATCTTGAGCCCGACATCATCACTTACAATGCGACCATCAGTGCTCATGGGAGATCGGGGAAGTGGCGCGAAGCATGGGTGCTGTTCAACATGTTGACACGTGCCCAAATTGCACCAAATGCCATTACCTACAATGCCACCATCACTTCGTGCGGCAAGCGTGGGGAATGGGAAAAAGCTTTGCAGTTGTTCGCGGCCATGTTCATGTCCAACGTAGCACCAACAATCGTGAGCTACAACGCCGCAATCAGTGCTTTTGAGAAGGACGGGCGTTGGCAGGAAGCTCTTCTGTTGATGGCGTCCATGAGCACCGCTAACATCCACCCGGATGTTGTCAGCTTCAATGCAACGATCAGCGCTTGCGAGAAAGGTCGGCAGTTGCAGCAAGTCATGTGTTTGCTTGAGGACATGCAATTGGCCCGGGTAAATGCAGATGTTGTTACTTACAATGCAGCGATCAGTGCAGCAGAGAAGTGTGGTGAATGGCAAGAAGCATTGATGATATTTGGGGCCATGCTTGGGGACACCATTGCGCCTGATGCGATCAGCTACAATGCAGTCATCAGTGCTTGCGAAAAGGGAGGGAAGTGGCAGAAAGCTTTGCAAATGTTCAGAGGCATGCGCGAAGCCAAACATGAACCGGACGTCATCAGTTACAGTGCCGCCATCAGTGCCTGTGAAAAGGCCAGACAATGGCAGGAAGCGTTGAGGTTGTTTGAGGCCATGCCCAAAGCCAAAGTACAACGACATCTTATCAGCTACAATGCAGCAATCAGCGCCTGCGAAAAAGGCAGACAGTGCAACGAAGCCTTGAAGTTGTTCAGATCCATTGCTAAAGATGATCTTGAGCCAGACATTGTCAGTTTCTGTGCAACGATCAGTGCGTGTGAAGCAGTTGGCGAGTGGAAGGTGGCGTTGAAGCTGTTCGCTGGAATGCCAAAATCCGGCCTTCAGCCCAACATAATTTGTTATAATGCTGCAATCAGTGCATGTGAGCTGGGCAGGCAGCCGGCTGCAATACTCACAGTTCCACAGGACATTGAAGGCTACAGCGCCGCCAGTGGCGCGCACAAAACGGCAGGCTACTTTACCTAGCTCTTGAAGGCCCGGCCATGCTTGTAGGTCATTGCTGCCCACGTGTCATCATAGGAAAGCCCAACTGAGCTCACCACTGCCTGAATGTCCAGTGTTGTTCTATGACAGTTGTTGCAGTTCCCTGCTAGGAATGGAAAGCTGCATGTTAGCTTGGGCAAGAATCGACATCAACCGCAGAGAGTTGGTCACGCAGCCCGACTGGAAAGGGCATGCCCTACTTCACTGTCGTAACATGCCATGCTCCATTGGTCCACGCAAACTGTTCGGACAGTGTGTTGTTCGATGGGCTCTTGCCGAGGCTAGGCTGACCTATCCCTACAAAATCCAAGTTTGCATGTTCCATGTTCTTTTTTCCATCTGATTCTCCATTATTAGGGGTAATAAGGGTCCCTTAAATACGCCTATATAACTAAATTGTGGTGATGTGGCTTGTCTGTTCGTCCAACATTGTGCTGGCGTGCGCTTTTCAGTCAGTATACTGGTCGCGTTCTGTGACTGGTGCTTTGCTCGTTTTCGATCGTGAGCCAAACCCCGCTTGGCTTTTTGCAAGGTGTACTTGAAGGAGGCCAGCCTCGGGCAAAGCACTCATCCCAGTGACAAAGCAGGCGGGGGAGGGCCGCCAGTCAGCCGCGCTCTTGGAGCGCCTGGGCGTGCCGCAGCAGCAAAGCAGCCATCATCTTTTCCTTGGAAGACCGGGGGGGGCATGTCTCCAGGCCTGCCTGGTTACCTGGTGTTTGTTGTTTGTTTCAAGATGGAACATAGGGGGTTAGGGCTTGGGACTGTTCTGGTAAGAGCAGGTGCCGTGAGCATTAGCCAGAGCCGGCTTTGGGAAGTGAAGTTCCGAGGTGAACCTTTGAAGATTCAGAACGGACTTGGGCCCGTGTTTTTTCATGTTGGGGATGCAGGGCATGGGGTGCAGATCCCCCTGGCTGTGATCATTGATTGTTTCGTTGTCGGCCTTCTCGGTCTTGACTGTCCGCTCGCACTGCTTCAAGCAAGCCGCAAGTTCAGGACAAGAAATGGAAAAGTTGGTCTCATTGTAATGGAGTCCTGGTTTTGCGGCGCAATGTGTGCTGGGGCGCAGCTTGCACTTTTGACATGCTATCGGAGGCCGTGGAGGTTGAAGACGACGAGTGGAGAAGAGATGTGGCAGCTTGGCGCATGATAATCACGCCACCTCGAAATCTTGTCCTCACACGCTGATACAATACATGCACGCAGGCACTGCGGCAGCATGCTCACTGTGCCGAGGCAGCGTCGAGGAAGGAGACCGGGCTGCAGCATCTTGGAAGATCTCACAACCAGGCGTGGGTGCTTGCCAACGTGCGCCTGCAAACGCCCAATGGGCTGCCTTCATTGCCATGCCTGCAGGATTTTGGAGCTTTTGCGCGACTGACTGTGCGAAGCCAGCCAAAGAGCTTGCTAGTCGGAAAACGTGAACGAAGGTGCATCGCTGTCGGCATTCTTGTTGGTCAGCACGGCAACAGGCCGAGGTGGCCTAAGATCTCCGGTGTTGAATCTCCTGGATGTGTTTCACGTCCTCTTAGTGGACATTTGTGGACAGGTTCGACGTCGCTTCCGGTGGAGGAGCCGGAAGACCAAATGTAAGCGCCAAATCACGGCCCTCATGCCTTTGAAAGTCTCAGCAGGCAACGGGCCTTGCGCGTCCCTCTTCCTGTTCAATTTGCAACAAGCAGGCTTGGCGCTACTAGTTAAAGACAACACGAGGAAAGTGTTTCAGTCATCCCAAATTCTGGAGATCGTGGTTTAGGAAGAGGGAGATCGCTGCCGCAATGTCTCGGGAGCAGTTCTTCATCTGACGAGCACGAGAAAGGTGGAAGCATTGCAAAAACAACTTTGTAGCCTCTGCAGCAAACCTCCATGGCATGTTGCATACTGCATGTGGCAATCCCGCAAAAAGTTTCTCACATTCGGTACCGGTATCTACATACAATTCGTGGCTGCCCTGGGTTGCAAGCTCAGTTAAATGCCTGCGCTACAGTCAAAAAGTGCATGTACACGCACCATGGAACTCAGGCGCCCTGCGATGGATGTGGCAGCGTTTGAGCTGCTACATTGCCATTGCGGCATTTGTGCTGTGTGTCGATGTCGGCGCTCTGCCATTGCGGCCTGACATGTTGGACCACAGGACCGCCTGAACTTAGCTAGCATTTAAGCTTCGAGCACAAGTTCGCCTAGTAGGCCCCATACAGGTTCTCATCACACTTTTGTCAGGTTTGGGGGTTTCATTTGTTTTTGCGAAAGCTGACCAGCAATGAGGGCGCCCTCCCATCAGAACATGGTCCTTTCAGCGAGTTGAGTAGCTCTTTCAGCGAACCAGCCTGCCACCCCCCTCCCATCACCTCATCTGTTCAAGTACAAGTACAGTGGAAGGTGCAGGTCCCTCGCAGCTCAACTGTGAAAGCGCCTGCCTGAACTACCAGAACCACCTGGGTCTGGTTTGCTGTTGAAGATGGGAGAAGTATTTTTCTCGCCATTCTGCGCAAGTCCCCTGCAAAGCCAAGTCCCCTGCAAAGCCTTGCCGAGCTCTAATCTCTACCCTCTCTGACAGAGCTCCAGGGCCGTCTTGATTTGGGGTGATCAGTGGTGAGCAGATGATCTTTGTTGTCATTGCAAACATCCACTGAAGAGGAAGCAGCTTTCAACCGAATCCCTGATATCGGCCAATGCGACTAGCACAGGCTCGGTCTTGTCATTTAGTTACAACTGCTTCATCCCTTTAGAGCTTGCCATGATTGTCGCCAGTCGCAATGCTGCAGCAAGTGCTTGTGGACCTCAATCGCACAAATAGCACCTTGATGGCAGAACCTTGGCAGCATCATGTTTGTGCCGCTTCTCAGCTCTTTCAGACCGCGTGGCTGAGTGCAGAAGCATATTGTGTGGAGACTTGCAGCTGTCGTGAATGCTACATCGTGACATTCCAGCGCCCCAGGAACTCAACGACCTTGTCCCAACCTGAGTTGCGCGCCCGCTGTTGTGAGGGTGCAAAAGGCAAGACTGAAAACTCAGGTTCAAGAAAAGGCTGGCGCCGTCGACGATGCTGCCAAGATCATCCGCGTCAACGCGCACATTGTTGGCAGTGCCCTTTCACAAGTTTCGGCCTCGGCACTTTGATTTGAATTGTACGCAGCAAAAGGCTGACCTTGATATTTGTGGTGTGGCAGGCCCTGCTTCATGCGGGAGCCGAGCTCAAAAAGGGAGATGTGAGTGGGGTGGAAGCCCAAGAAACTTCATCCATGACTTCTTGATTTGGCGCAATGTGTCTGCATCAGCAGAAGTCATGGCAAGCTAACGAAGGTAGAGCAGGCATTGGCAGATCCATCCTCCTTAGGGCAGGACCTGATGAGACAGGGCACAAGCCACTCCTCCAGACAGTGCGCACGAGTAGCAGCAGTAGTAGTAGTAGTAGTAGTAGTAGAAGAAGAAGTCGTAGTAGTAGCAGCAGATACCAGTACTAGCCATTTTCGTCGTAGTAGAGGAAAGAAGGTGGAACATTAGGTTGTGGTTGTGGTTGCTGTGGTTGTTGTGCTTGTTGTTGTTGTTGTTGTTGTTGTTGTTCTTGTTCTTGTTCTTGTTCTGGTTGTTGTTGTTGCTGCGCGCCCAGGCGATCCAAGCAGTCGATCAGAGCATTGCAGAGGACGATCTCTTTCCATTAGCCTTTGATGAAACCGTGCTGTTTGGCGGTTCCTTAAGCTGATATCCTCGTCATTCTTGCAAGTTCAGAAGTTTTAAAGTTATTTCCTGTCAGCATGTCATTCCGCTTCATGATGCACAAGGACTATGGTGTCACCAAATGTGTTACTCGTAAAGCTTCCGGGCATCTCAGCGCAAACATGGTTGCAGAGTGTAGATGCGAGACGCTACCATCACGAGTACCATCTAGCATATATCGCAAGTACGTAGTGTCTCACCAGAAAATCATTGCCATAACTGTTACTGGTTTGCTTTTTTGCGCTGCAGGCACGGCAGCAAGCAGCTGAGGCCTCGCTTCTCGCAGTGTTGGACGGACTGGAGTTTGGGGCGTGAGCATGAACAAAGGTCTCTAGCTCTGACCCAAAACAGTAGGTTGCTGAACACAAGAATCCTAAAATCGGGCCAAATCGCGACCATCAGTTTCAACACCACACATGAGATCATGGTGTGTGCACCATGAAGCATGATGAATTCAAGGGTTTAAGGACAAAAGGAAGACTGTCCTATCAACTTGTGCGACTAACAACTTACAATCATGGCTCTCAGAATATAGCTGTGCAGTTTGATTGTTTGCCAAGAATACCTTCACCCAACAACTGTAGATTTCCCAAAACTAGGGGTACCATTTTGGGGGGTCCCAATCAATAATAAGGTTTGTAGTACACTAGGGTATGTAAAGGGACCGCCCTAAGCCCTAAACCCCCCAAAAAAAAACTAAACCCTATCGTATAGCAGGCTATATAGCCGGACCCCACATGTATGGAAACCACCAAGTCTGTTAGGCAAATCGGTCATTCCGAAGTGCAGCTTGGAGGCTTGCAGTTGAGGGTGTAGGGCTTAGGAATGTTTAGGGTATATATAGGGTTTGAATATATGTAGATATTTATATATTGTTTTATAGATTGCTAGGGTTATCTATGGGATGACACAGGGGATCTCTGAGGACATTTAGCCTGGATGATGGAAAATAAGATGGACAACATGGAAAAAACATTGAAACTGGGGTGGGGATTATAGATATATCGGCAGTTTCCATTTCATTTTTCATGTTCTTTGCCATGTTTTCCATATTGGGGCTACAAATCCCCTATATAACCCTAAATCCTCAACCAATATATTATATCCTCTATAAAATCCCTATAGTTCTTCAGTACCTTGGCAGTATTTGACACTGCCAGCGCGGCTTGCGTGCTGCTGCTGTTCGCCGGCATTGCTGCGGGCTGGGGCCGCTTTGGATGCAAATGCATTAGGATTATATGATACAGAGCCTGGGGTTTAGGTTGAAAGTATATATAGGGTTATCCAGGGATTATGCAGGGGATTCAGTATGTAGGCGCAACAGTGGAAAATCAAACGGAAGCTGGGATGTTGGTTTTAGTGGATTATGAGGATTAGGATTTCCTGGATTGGGGGTCCCCTTCAAAGTCTGTTTGTTGATTGTGTCCTTGGCAGTGACGCATGCACTGTAAGGAGAAGGTCTGATTGCAAGTCTGAACCGTTTCAAGAAGCATTCTCCATGGCCTGGCAAGCGGCCTTCAGACTTTAATCTTGAGTACCGTCCCCACTGTGTAACAGTTGGATTAGGTTTATAACATAAATATATACAGCCCTGCAATACCCAACCTAAGCCCTTAACGCTAGATAGTAGTTTCCATTGTCTTTTCATTATCCCGTTATAAATCCCTGATAACCCCTGTATCTTTAATCCAAGGTTTGGAGCATTTGTTCACCATGAGTGGGGAGGCAGACTCGAGTCTCGAGGCACGGATCTGTAACTTACTGCTGGTCATTCGGGAATAAGGGAATCTATTCTACAGGGAATTATAAAAGGATTATACTCCTTTCTTCCCTGCTAACCACCAGTATGATAACCCTAAACGCTGAGCCCTAAATAGTAGCTTCCGTTTTCCTTTCCATTATCCCTATATACTCCCCTAATTATGCATACCCGACATAATCCCCTACATTCTATACCCCTACTCAATCCCTTATTTACCCGTATATAATACCCTTTCCTAATCCCCTATATACCCCAATATGAATCCCTTACGTTGGAAAGGTACAGAAGACTGAGCAAGGGCAGGCCCCGTTGCACAGCCACGATTAGCAAGAGTTGTCAGAGTTATGAGGGAACCGTGTGTGTGTGTGTTGTTTTTTTTTGTTCGGGGAGGGAAGCTCTTTTTGTGTTTTCTTTGGTGGCTCTCGATTTTTCTCTAGGGCGAAGAGCCTCGCTTTTAGTATATGGAGGCCATGAAGAAAGGACGGAAGAGTTGGTGAGGACTAGGAGCGCCAGGAAGCGAGACAGGAAGAAACCGAGAAAGAAAGAAAGAAAGAAAGAAAGAGATTAATGAACACTAGAGGTCATAGTAACTAGAGTGATCATAGAAGTCATCGTAATCGTACTGCTCGCAGTGCCTCTAGTAAACATATGTGTTATTTGGATCAAAGTCACCATATTAACCATGGCAACCATAGCAACTATAGCATTGATAGCAATAATAGAAACAAATGTAATAGTAGTAATGCAGCCACAACCACCAAGAACAAAGCAACACACCAACAAAAAACACACAAAATGATAAGCATTGGTAGTACTACCAGTATTATTAGTATTCTTGGTGCTCGTTGCGTTATGAATATTTTACTATTAGTAGAAGGAAGCAAGAAGAACCGCAAAGATCAATGGCTTGCAATTGGGGAAGGGCTCAGTCCCGCCAACCCTCCCCCCCCCCCAAGGGTAAAACCTGAATCCAGCACTGGTAGGCGCTGCTTGAACTGCTAGCACTTGGCACAAGAGCTGCAACTCTCCCCGAGCTGGCAAACAATGGGATACCCGTGGCATCTCGCGGCCATCACAGGTAAAAATACAGGTTCAGGATGAGGTGGGGGGAATTGCTCAAATGTGGACAGCGAGGCACCGCACAGTGCTGTTTCCGTACGAAGGAGCATCGTCAATTCCCAGCACTGGGGGTCCTACGATTTTTGTTGCCTGGAGCTTGGATCTCTTGGCATCGGAGCTCCATACCTTCAGTGGGCTAACGGCAAACTCAAGTACTCAGTTGTTCTGGGCACACTTCAGGGAACGCAGGTGCACTTTAATAGTCGTTTCGGGATGTGACGGAGATACAAGGCCTTGACAAAATGGCCGTGAAAGAATTGAAATTAGCCATCGGTCTTCGGGCATTGGTAGATTCATACAAACATATCGACCACTTTGCTGTGCATTGAGCCAGTGCCGGCTAGCAGACATATTCTTGCTACGACGTCTGTCTTCCGAACTCATGATTTCTCCTAGCCGCCACATGCTATACCCTCGAGGTTTCCTCTGAATCAAATGGCTTCCAGTAACCCTGAGTAAGCCTCATTAATCGGGGGGCCTGCAATATGTTGGTCATTTCCAGGTCCTGCAGTGTTCTTCTGTACAACTTCTACCCATGGTCAACTGCCGCTGTGAAGCGTGTGAGCCTCAACTGCTACTGTGGCGCTCGTAGGCATGGCTTACATAAGTCCAGCTCCAGCATGCGTGCGGATATTTGACCATGAATGATTTGGTGGTGCCTTTACGTTTGTGATGAGGCACGTTGTTCTGTCCATTTCGTTTTGTGTTCACAATTTGCGTTTTTTCCCTTTTGCCACCTTGGGCTCGAGCGAGATGGTGGACCCAAGAGCCCCGGGAAGGCATAGATCGCAGTGCTGGCCGTGAGGAAACATGGTGTGGCCTTATGACTGGTCCCGGCAACCAGCTGTACTGTACTTCCTGTACTTCAGCCTTTGTCGGAGTCTCAGGGAGCCCCTTTTGCACGCGCTGAATGTTGCACAATTTTGAGCAGCCTCTCCATTGCCAGGCCTGTGCAGCGCAAGCCCAACGATGGATGCGCAGCTGCGCGGGGCAAGACGGGCCACCCAGACAGATATCAGTCAGTGTGGCATCCTAGGACATGCTAAGAATGATGGTACCCGCATCATGCACGGCAAAAGTGCCACCCAGTGTACTTGGAGGTGGCAGGTTAGCCTGCATGATTTTCGCAAGAAAAACACCACCAAGTCCAGCCACTTCTGTGGCGGGACCTTAATTGATCGCAAATGGGTTTTGACAGCTGCACACTGCGTTGGCTCCTTCTCCCAGTGTGACCTGAGATTCGTTCGGGTCATTGCGGGAGCTTGGAAGCACAGTTCAGAGTCCAGATTGCGGGAGGGAACCTCGGCAGAGCGTGGCGTCGTCCGCGTGCACAAGCACCCAAGGCTGGAGGGAGTTGCATGTTGTGATGGCCTATGACTGCCTTTTGCCGTGATTGACAGCATGTGAGTTTGAAGCAGCCTTACAGTCCAAGCAACCCGCCGCCCTTCAGGTACGGCCATGCTGCGCCCTCCGACTATGACTTCGCGCTTGTAGAGTTGGACGAGCAGCTTCCCATCAATGAATGCATCGGTGTAGCATGCCTGCCCCCCGCAGGGCACGTTGAGGACAGTGCTCAAGCACCATGGGCCCAGGCTTGCAGCATCACAGGCTGGGGTGCCTCTCAGGATGCAGGAGGGGCACCTAGCACCCTGCAAGAGGGCTCAGTGTCTGCGCTGTCCCATGAAGCTTGCGTCAAGGATTACGCCGCGCACAATGCAACCATCACCCCTTCCATGCTTTGTGCATCGGGCAAGACAGACGCAGGAATCACGGACGCGTGCTACGGGGATAGTGGTGGACCACTGGTCTGCAAGGAAGACGACCGTTATGTAGTCCGTGGCATCACGTCCTGGGGTTTGGGCTGCGCTTCGGAGAAATTTCCTGGAGTGTACAGTCGCGTAACGGAAGCCTTGGGTTGGATCCACGAAACAATGGCTGGTGGCGCAAATTCCGCTTCAGCTCCTGTTGAGTTCCATGGTGCTATGTGGACCGTCACAACTGGGCCATGCACAATGGACTCTGCAAAGTGCATCCTCAGTCCAGGTTTCCCAGCAAATTATTCCATCAACTCCTATTGCTTCATCCGTGTCAATGCTTCCTCGGCAGTTCCAATTCGAGTCGAGGAGTTTGCTACCGAGCCAGGATTTGACCAGATGCTTTTAAATTGCAGGTCATTTTCTGGGAAGGATAGTCCAGCAGGAGTCATCCCCTACACAGATATTATGTGGGTCTCTGACGTCCGGGGGGTGGCCAAAGGCTGGAAGATATGTCCCGGTGCTTGAAGCACTTTTGTAAACATGCACATGAATTGCAGGACGTGTTAACGTCTATAGTTGGCATGCAGGGTGTATTGGCTTCACCCGGTGCCGCACCGTTCCATATAGACACACTGCACCTTGCCGGCGTGTCAGATTTCAAGAATCAAAATCTGCGCTCCCATGAAGGCAGTAGTTTCCCGCGTCCATGACCTGAGCTGGTCTGGTCTCAGCCATGGGCGCAGCAGTTCAATGTGTAGAGTTGTGCAGAGAGAGGATGCCTGTGGATAATGCGCCTTGCCATTACTGGACACAGCCTTGGACCCAACAACATTAAGCTGTTTTCGGTCGTAAACATTATGCTTATGGCACGCGCATTTTAGAGACTACTAGCATCTTGTTTTTTTGTGCATGATCGTCAGAGGCTTTGCAGTACATGCTGCTCAGCCTAGCTGTGAAGAGACGAGCCGTCGATTGCCGAATTTAGTCCGGTAAACCAGCGTGGCTTGTGATGGTGGGAAGGCAAGCAACACCGAATAACGGGTAGGGCGCTGATTCATAAGCAAAACCAGCAATACTGATGATAGTAAGTTTGACAACCCTTTGCGTCTTATTCTTTACTCATGTAGGGCCCCGGGCGCAGTGGCATTAGGAGCCTTCTGTGGCTGCAGGCCGCCGAGCCAAGTTGCAGCTACATTTCCTTGAAAGTATTGGTGTTTCGCAGAACGTCAGTCCCTGTATACATGTTGTGTTCCAGAAGCAACATGTTGTTGTTGCCTCGGTTGCTGTTGCTGCTGCTACTGCTGCTGCTGCTGCTGCATTGTCATCTCGCACATTATCACTATCATCCTCATTGCTTGTCATGACACACGTTCTATCATCATCACTGCGATGCTCAGTGCCGCTTATGGTCCATTCAGTATGGTGAATTGGATCCTTGATGCTCTCTCGTGCCCAGATCGGCAAGCAGCCAGCGCCTTAGCAAGAGAGCAGCATGCAGGTGAATGCAGCCAGGCAAGAGCCAAGGCGTGTATCCTAAGAGCCCAACAGAGCTATAGTTCAAGCTCCTCAAAGGCGGTTTTATAGGGGATTACCTAGGGGTCTAGTATATGGGTTATAAATGGGGATGCTAGAACTCTAGACTATTGCCCAAGTCGAAAGAATTGTCATCTGCAAAAAGGACTTGTTATTAAGTTCTCGTAGCCTTTGCCGGAAGGGTAGCATGAATACATGATGATATCACTGATGCCATTTCATGTTGCAGACTGCTTGGATCTGTTCATGTTGCAGACTGTTGTTACGATCTTTGTGACAGAAGCGCAACTTCAACATCCGGCAGCCTTTTCCAATTGTGCCATAGAGTAGATTCCATTTTCTTTTCCATTATCCCAATTCAACCCCTATATATTGGGATAATGGAAAACAAAATGGAAACTACTATAGTGTCTTGGGGTTATATCGGGATAATGGAAAATAAAATGGAAACTAGATAAACCAGATGCCAATTTCCCCGACAGGACAGCATCTCCACGCTGTCAAGTTGGGGGCTGTTGGCTGCCCCGTTGCCGGAACCTCAATGATAATGATCGTCGTGGGTCTTGAAGCGCAGCAGCAGCAGCCGCCGCAGTAATTGTAGCAGCGTAGCAGCTGCAGCAGCAGCAGCAGCAGCAGCATCAGGAGGAGCAGGAGTAGGAGGAGTAGCAGCAGCAGTAGTACTACTACTACTGCTTCTACTTCTATTATTACTATTATTATTATTACTACTACTACTACTACGACTACTGAGATTACAAGCAAAGACAACAGCAAGACGATAGTGCGGGCGGTTCCCTCATTTTCACAGACATTTGTACAGTCCCGCAAGGAAGCGCACCAAGATGGCCAGAGGATCATGGAGCTGAGGTTTTTCACGCTGAGCGGGTTCTGCCACAGCTACTCCAAGCTAACAGGGCCGAAGGCAGGAACCGTGGGATAGCTTGGGTCGCCGCAGAAGTATCCGAAGCTTCAAAGAACTGGAGTGGTAGCTCCTGCGCAGCTTTGGCATCCATATGGTTCAGTTTGGAGGATTCAGCTGAGGCATCCAGAGCCTGTTGTATCTATCACCGAGTGGCTGCACCATGTCACATCCCGAAGCTGATCTGCTGCCATCCTTGCATGTAAACCTACCGGGAAACTGTGCTGCTACCATACAAGCAGAGATCTGAAGATCCGAACAGAGAGCTTACTCACATTGGCACTTCCTATGGCTGCGGCTCTTCGCGCGGTCCGCCGCTACGGACTACCTGCGACCGGCATATTTGGTGCAGCTTGGGCCACTGATGACGCTTGGTCTGCGCAACTGTTGAAATTTAATGTTTGTGCCAACACAAGCCCTTTCTTGCGGCGACCCTTATGCTGATTGTGGACTCTGGTTTGGCACGTCCCCAAATGGCTCATGGACACACTGCCGCAATCTGCCGCAGTCTGTAGTGATGCACTGAGCAAACCTCTTAGCAGTTTGCAGCACACTCTTTGACATGCTGTAGCCGCTGCGAGCATGCCGCTGTCCAGGAATTCTGCCTCCACCAAGTGGGCCAACGCACTGCTAGGACAGTGAAAACGGGCCTTTACTTGCTCTGGCAGCGCCATGGCGTGTAGAGTGTTGAATTGTTTGCCGGGATGAGCGAGCAGCATCATGGATCTAAGCATATTCCAACGCAAAAACATGTAAAACCAATACCCATCAGATTGAATAGAAGGCTGAAGGCTGAATCAGGATGTGTTTGGCTTGTTTACGGCCTTCAGGCATCACTGCGGGTATCTCCTGCTTGGCGCATGCGAGGTACAAGGTGTGTTGGACACCCGAGACGTCCTCAGAGGTGCACGCCAAGGTGGCCAAGCGTTTGGTCGACTGCCTGCGCCGCAACGAGGGCCTGTACGTGAAGTTCGGACAAGCCATGTCAACTATGGAGCTGCGCTTAGTCATGATTGCCTTGTGCAGCGGAGGTTTTTCTGGCATGCCCTTGTATTCGAGCAGCCATTGTATCTTCAACGTGCAGCCTGCAGCTTAGGATGTGATCCTGCCAGACGAGTACAAGTCTGAACTCAAAACCTTGCATGACCAAGCGGCAACGTTTGAGTTTCAAGAGGTCAGGAGAGTCATCGAATCACAGCTCGGCCGCACTTTGAACGATATGTTTTCAGAGTTTGAGGAGAGACCCATTGCTTCTGCGAGCATTGCACAAGTTCACCGTGCCAAGCTTCGACCCGAATTTGCGGAGGGCAATGGCAAGGAGTCTTTGGATGTTGCTGTTAAGGTTCAGTGGCTTGGCTGCGGGCTCGGCAAGCTCATGCGAGCTATCCAGCAGTAGTAGCACTACTGTAGCAGGAGGTAGTCATTTGAACGACATTGGAGGATGCCCCGGATTCAAAAAACCCGAAACCCTATATATCCTTATGTATCCCTTTATATAGACCAGACGAAGTCTTATTGCTTTTGGGAACGCCAGGAATTCGAATCAATTCAGGAGTTGCCATCTGAACTATAATCTAAGCTCCTTAAAGGGGGATTCTGTAGGGGGTTATATAGGGGACTCTTATAGGGGTTAGTAAAGGGGATGCTAAGCGTTTAGACTATGGCTCATTTGGTTTCAGGGTTTGGGGCTTCTCCTTCGGGGTTCAGTGTATATGTCTCTGTCATGAACCATCGTGAGAGACCATTGCTGTGACGACCTTTGTGATATGTACCGGCCTCAGAACTGTTCGACCCTGCTTCTCGACACTCTTTGACTTCCATTTTTCACAGAATTGACCTGGACTAATCCACTCCAGTGCTCAGTCATTTGCGCGCCTCTTTTCAAGGAAGCCAAACATTCCGGCGCAGAATGGATGCGACCTTGCTGTCTACAAACTGGTTCTCACAGTCTTGGAATATGCATTCGACTTGCCAATGGCCTCGCTCTTAGTGTGGTCACCAGCAACAAACGCTGTAATAAGTTGGAGTGCTCCTTGTGGTTGCTGGGGCTTGAAGCCGAGCTTGCAGTGCGAACCTTGGGATAGGTACACGCTATCCTGTTCAGTCGACTGCGCACACTAACCCGAACCCAAACCCAAGCCATCACGACCGTAGTGCATAGAAGCGTTTGCCCGTCCCGAACACTTTTGAAGTTAGCTGGTTCCTCCCTCATACACAAGTTCTTTTGACAAGGTGTGGACGTATGGCTATACGCGGCAACAGCTGGAGGCGGAGCTGGACTTCCGGATCGAGGCCTGAAGGCTTTAGGGCTGACGCGGGATCAATGTCCGCGGCAACTAATGAACGCCCCCCACCCCCTCCCCCTCAAAACCACCCCCTACCCCACCACCCCCAAACCACCTCCCCACATGGTTTTGTTATTATTGGGGGTGGGTGGGGATTGTATTGTTTTGGGTGGATTGTCAAAGGCATTCCGGGATTCCTACTATGGGGCTTGGCTCTTCCTTGCAAACTGTTGCAATCTGCTGGCAGCCGAGGCAAAGCACGCCCAACAAGCGGCTGCTGAGTTGGCCACATGGAAGCAAGACAACTTTAGTGTCCCCCGCATCATCTGCTAGTAGTTGCAGGCGGACCAGGTAGTCATCGTCCTTGTAGTAGAATGCCAGGGAGCAAACAAGAGGAGCCAGAGTACCAGTGCTGTTCTCGTGTGGAGATTGGAATTCGCAAAGTATGCTTTCTACACGGGGTCGATGAAGTCCAACTAATCAGAATCCGTGGCTGCTTTTAAATTGCCAGAAATGTCAGCAAACGGACCCCAAGGAAAAGGACGCCGAAGAGTTGTTTTAGAGTCTCATGCTTCAAAGTCAGGATGCATGCAGCCAATTTCACGGGAAGGTCGTCGTGCCCGCTGTTCAGGAGTTTCCTGGCTGCAGGGTTCCAAATGCTGTGGGCATGCCGCGTCATGCCCAGAGTTGATGCAAGGCTGCTTGCCAGAGTGTGTGTTGCTGACCAGCAAGGCAGGTTTCTGGACAGCGGGTCATGGTAATGGAGTGGGTGGACTCACTGGGCCCTGCTAGCGACAGCCTCGCTCTACAGAAAGCAGGGCTCAGGCCTGCTGACGTGATGCGGATGGCGACAGAAGCTTTGGAGCTGCCTTTGGGAAGGTTGTTGACCCTTTGGATGTTTTGCTTACAGTACTATGGGAGTCTAAGTCTCAAGTGGAAGACTAGTGGAACCGATGGGCTCCAGCGTAGCGGCGTAGCACGCGGAAGCCTCCCTAGGTATTTGGATATCAGATTTTCACCACTGGCCACGTACATTGCGATCCACATCCGGGCAACTTGCTGGTGCGCTTGGCTCCTGCAGGGAGCCCCCAGAAGTGGCAGTTGGTCCTACTGGATCATGGACTCTATTGTGAGCTGAACCCGACATTGCGAACCTTGGCTGCCTTGGAGAGGGGCATGTGCCAATTTGCCACTTTGTGTCTCGTGATGAGTAGTATAACATCCTCGGCAGGCCGTGACTACGCAGATTTCTGGGTGGCAGCTGCACTTGGAGATACTCAGTCAACGGTCCGCATTTGCAGTAATTGGGGCATTGCGGATCAAGATGCTGCAGAGCTCTTCGCCTCGCTTACGCAGTTCCGACGTGTGCGCTTGGGGGCGCAGAGCCTGGATGCCATGGCCTCCTTGTTCGGCTCGCAGCAGAAAAGGAAGGCTGATGTTATGCCTCATGCGCCTAAGAAGATGACGGCAAAAGCAATGGCTGAAGCACAGCAGAAGCTGAAGGCTCGTGCGAAGAAGGTATTGGGCGATACGGCAGCCTTTCCCAGGGAGTTGGGCACTCAGTAGGTCCCCCCGGCGCAAGCCGCAACCTTGCCTCCAGCCCCAATTGCTACAAAATCAGCCATCATTTGGCATTGGTTTCCAACAGCGCTAGCAAGAACACAATTCAGTGTTAGGTTGCTTTTCGTCGGCCGGAGCCTGAACATGATCCGTTCGGCCAACTTCGCATTGGGCTCTGCCGTGAATCGTGTGGCTATCTTGGCAGAGTGTGCCGCTGCAGGCTTACGAAGGGCGAAGGGAACGTTGGCAGTTTGTCCTCCAACACGCGATGCCTTGCACGAACTCACTTTGGCCTCATAAGCTGCCCAGATCAACAAGACAGGAGATGCTGCCGTGATCATTCCTCTTATTTGTGTCCCTTGCACACTAGCTCCACCAGTCTAATTGCCAAACCACCCCTACTGCCATTGTCCTACTGGGTTGGGGGATTGAGAGGCGCCTCACTCCGGGGTGGGTCTTTGGCTTCACGGCGCGTGGCCGTGTGGAACTTCCATTTCCGCCACCCTGCCTGACCTTGATGAGGGATTCAAGTGGAATGGGCTAAATTTGGTTTTCAACGTGTCGTAACTGAATGGGAGATTCACGAACATTAGAGTTTCTGGAGTTTAACGTCGATTTCCTGGGCATGGTTATATACACACTCCCAGATTCGTTCATACCTTTAGCTCCTCCTTGCCTAACCCTAAACCCGATATGATAGTGGCGTTTCCATTTTCTTTTCAATTATCCCCTAAATAATCCATATGTAGCCTCAATAACCCCTGTATCTATATAATAGAGTAGTAGTTTCCATTGTCTTTTCCATTATCCCAATATAACCGCATTATACTATAGTAGTTTCCATTCTGTTTTTCATTATCCCTGTATAACCCCAATATACTCCAGTAGTTGCCATCTTCTTTTCCATTCCCTCATTCCTAGCTAATCAAAGGCAACCTTAATATATCCCCAGTTTGGTTGGCCTGGCCCAGGAGTTCAGAGCCTCCTGTTTCTCAGCAAGCTCTTTCAGCTTTGGCAGGGCCTAAGCAGCTTCTGGGTTGCTGTTAAGAAACTTACTTTAAGTTACTATATGGGGGAAACCATATTATCTACCATATAGACCCATTGTGGTAACGTAATTTGAGCAACCCAGGCTTGTTCAATCAGCTGCCCATTGGCTTGCAGCTTGCTCCAGCAGTGCTTGGCGTCATGGGCCTCCTACTGCCAGCTGCGGCAAGCAGAACAGCCGATGCCTTAGTTGCCCCGCAGTAGTGTAGAACAAATTCATCAACAAAGAGGTCTCACCCGGGATGATAAAGGGCATCCTAGTATTTAGGTCTTTAGAACCTCTGGTATATTATTTTGGGAGTACATTCTCTCTTGTGTCTTTCGTTGGTGTTAAGCTGCGCCTTTCGAGCCCAGCAGAGGGCTGGAAAAACTAGATCCCCAAAGTTGATAGAAACATCATAAAGATTTAGATTAGGGCATCGTCCGAAGGCCCCATAAGGAAGGTTTTATATATAACGACCATGGCTGGCTTCAGAGGCCTTCGGGCGAAAGGTCGCAATGGTGCGCGCAAAGGAACTTTCGATTTCGCGAAAGAAGCATCGTAAGCTATAGTTCCTTACTTTCAAACATAATTGTTTCCCTTCTTGCAGTCTGCAGGCATGCTTCCAGGCATGCTCAAAGAGAGAAAGGGTTGCAATTTTTTCTGAGGCACTGGATGAGTCTCAGAATTCTTACTCGAAAATCCGCGAAAGATCTGCGAAAGGTCGCGTAAGCCCAGCAAGCCCCCAGCATAGCAAGCCATGAGAGACGACATAGCTTCCGCGATTCGGCTTTGGAGTTAAGGGCTTGGGTAAGTTCTAACCCCACTTCACCTTCCAAGCATGCCTTGTGGTCTTACAGGTTTGGCTTTGGAGTTGAGGGTATGAGTCAAGTGTTCTTTTGAGTTCAGGGCTTGGTTTCCGCCTCAAGCATGCTTCCGCGAAAGCTCGCGATAGTGTTCGCGAAAGGAACTTTTGGATTTCCGCGAAGAGGTTATTTTGCTATGAAAAACGCCCTGTAGGGCTGTAGGGCACTGTAGGGGCTAATCTGCATTCATGTAGGATTTTCCTACGTTTTTAGACACTCAAGGGTCTGGGTTGTCAACCCTGAGGAACGCAAGGGCAGTGAGGGCCAAGACCTGGCAGGTCCTGAGGCCGGTGGTTGAAGCAGGCGGTTCTCACGGGTATAGTCCCCGTTAAGTAGGTAGACTATGGGGTATCTGAGAATCTTACTTGTGGCCCTGGCGAATTCCATATTCTACCTAGTTAAGGGGGAAGACAGTTGGAGGAGCCTGAAGAATTCTGGCGTATTCTATCTAAGGAAACAGCACTGTTTGTTTATGTCACACTACATCCTTCGCAACCGAAAGAGTTGTTTTCAGAATTCAGGCCCCATGGTAGGAAATTGGGCATTGGCTGGAGGACTCGTTTCTTTGGGCACGTTGGTTATCTGGCCCTTGTCTGCCACTGTGCAGTTCTGGTGGCGCACGCTGTCCTTACAGAGGGAAGCCCGTGCCCCACCGCGGCTAACATTTTCCAGTGCGACGCTGACAGAGTGACAGACTGTCGACACTGCCCTTTTCTCAAACGTTCCATGCTCTGGAGCTGGAAGCTGCTGCACACATAAATTCTGACTGGATTCATGTTGATCCTTCAGTGCCATTATGTGAATTAGCGGCACTTGGCTGCTGATCACCCCCTAGTTAGATAAGGACAGCCAGAGTAAGAGCAGGGCGTTTTGCAAATTAGCTTTCCATTACCAGACCTTGCCCGAGGCAGTATGGTTGGAGGTGAAGGAGTCAAAAGCTGCGTCATCGTTTGCTGCTTGCCGCTGCATTGCGGAATCCTGAAAGGTACAGCCCATCCATGCCGATCAAGCAGCGTGCATCAAAGAAGCAAGTCGTGGCTGTCTCACTTGACCACTGACAGGCACCTTTGGAGGAGGACATGCTGAGCGCCATGGCATGCCGCTGAGATCAGAGTGGGCTAATTCCGCCATGGTAAGTAACAGGATAAGGTGTAAATTAGATGGCCTTGGCTGAGTTGGAGTAGCCAAATTGCATCATTCCTGAGGTCACTCGAATCATGGCTTGGTATCCTTTGTATGCACCCACCTCAGCCAGAAGGAAACGCCTCCTGCAACACAAACTTGCAATAGAAACCAGAGGTCATTACGCTGATCTTTCTGTCCATCGAATACTTTTCCTACAGTGCTTGGGACTGGACAAGCTTCATGGCCGGATGCCCAGCATGCAGGCTGAAAAACTATATTTTTTCCATCCTTTGAATCCCTTGGAGGAATACCTTGTGCCAACCGTAAAGGGTGTTAGCCATGTTGTGGTCCAATGCAGTGTCCCTATCCAGCACAGGTACAAGCGTAAAAAGCGACAGGCCTCTCGCCAAAACCCAATGTGCAAGCCCCACACAAAGAACACAGACTGACATCATTTCCAAATTGCTGCTGCTGCTGCTGCGATACGGCGACGACTACTCCTACTACTACTACTCCTCCTCCTCCTACTACTACTACTACTACTACTTCTTTTTTCTACGATTACTATCACTACCACGACTAGTCTACTAGCAGCACTTGTACTTTTACCTACCCTGCTGGCCCCAGTTCTCTTGCACCGGTTAATGCCAAGATGGCGCCGCCAATCTCATCCTGCAAGGCCCACGTCTTCCTCATCAGCGGCAGCTTCCAGGAACACCGTGAGGCTCAGCATACAGCTGCATAACCCCCTTGCAATCTCTATATGAGCTATAGTCTAAACTCCTTAAAGGGGGGTTAGAAAGGGGAGTACTACAAGGGTGAGATCTTAGGAGTTTAGAATATAGTTCATATGTACGTAGACTCCGTACTTGATCAAAATTCTTGTCCTGAAATAAAACATCCTATGGAAATTCAGGGGTTCAAATGGAATCCCCAAAGCAGGGCCTCTAGATTCTAGATCAACGGTGACATTGAGTTCGATGACCACTGATGTTTTAGATGTTGTTCTTGCTGCTCTCTAACTGCCCTAAGGACTGTTCTGGTTGTTATGGTAACTAGTAATATAACGCAATCATCACAAACGCGTCCTTGATATAGAGACTCGAGAAGCACCATTGTGAGTATGCTATCGCGCAGAGTAGCCGCTTAAGCTGTGATCATGTATACTATCTCGAGTATCAGAACAGCCCGAAGCTGTCTCATGATGAAACTGTCCCTGCATACCGGGCCCCACTCGCAGGCACTGGAGTAGGAAGTCTTCGCCTTGTGCCAGGCTGTTTTCCCATATTTGCCCTGCAGCTGGTGGTTCACTTGCCTAGCGGTCGGGCTCTCAGAGCCGACATCACGGAGGTAGAGCTGACAATGGCTTAATCATTCTGTCACGGTCCCGGTACAACTCTGGTCTATAGGTAGAAGTGGGTCGACAGGGTTTCCTCACACTCTGACATCTTGCAGTCAGAGCAGATGCAATGGCTGTGTGTCCAAAGCCCGTCACCTTCTCATGCCATGTCAAAAATGTAGCCCCTCTGTGCTTCGGGCTAAGACAAGATAGAAACAGTATTTTGGAGTACACTGCGTGAGAAATGCCCATGTTAAGGCCTACACGTTGGCTTGGCTTCCTATGCACAACATCTTGAAGATCAGCAGCGACTCAGTGATCTGGACGATGTTTGTCATGGCAACCGCCGTTTGCTCCCTAGCTCCCTTGGATTGTCTGGTCCTTCTTGGACAGGCCTTCGTGCATGAGCCGCCAGGCAGAAACCCAACCCAAAACAGATAGAGGTTCACAACCCCGAAGCCCTTGATGCAGCTCCGCGCCTGCTTTCCGGGTAGTTGCTGCCGTCATCCTGAGTGAGCGGCACACGCCTTCTGCGGACGTATGTCTTCTGAGCTCATTTGCTTGATACAGCTTTGCAAGGTCGTGATCCCTTCGGTATTGTTGGAGTGGCTCTTCTTCAAAGACATGGCCATCTTCGAATTACTGCAGTCTGAGGCTCAGCCTCAACGAGCTTGTTTGTCTTTGTGCGCCAAAATTTGCGTAACACCGCATCAATGGTGAGATCCTGGCTGTGAGGTACAGCTTTGCTTTCTTCAATGGACAAGCTCTAGCTGTATGGCAGGCTGGGGTAACAATCTGTTTCAATCAGTTCCTGCTGGCAACTTGCCAGGTAAATCACTGCATGCTGCTTCAAGTGCAGACGACTGTACCCGCACGCCAGCTCCGAATACTGCAGCCCGAGCCTTGGGGGTGACCGGAATTCAAGGCCTCAGCCACCAAGTCTCACACTCCTGAAACTCATGATCTAAGTATGCTTACGGATGTGAGGTGAGCCCTGCGTTGCATCAGGACACTCGGGAAACCTGAAGCCTGTAGTCAGCTGGGATGAAGCCGCTTTTCCGCAGCTTCCTGGCCCAGAGATCGGGAAGATGTGGATGGCCCCCCAACCCTCGCCAAGCGATGGAGGGAGCTACTCCCAGGGATGGCAGCAAGCTCAGTTCGTGAGACGTTTCGAAGCGTCTTAGGATGTCTTAGGGTTGTACGCTGCTTACTTGGCAAGATGTTCCTTTGCCTTTTTAGGATGCACCAAAACATGCTCAATCTGCAAGGTCACCATCGGGGTCTCGCCAGTAGAAGGCTTGCCTAGCGGAGCACAGATTGAGCCGCCGAAGTTCGCAGAACCTTGGAAGTGCAACCTTTCAAGAACACACCTGCCAGGGACGCTAGGGCAGGATGCCTCGTTTGGAAAGCGCCCGCAGGAACAGCAGTTTCCAATTGAACGTGTCGCCAAGGACTTGCAGAGCACAGTGCTGGACTGGCCTGATGGATCAGGTGCGCCACAGTCCAAGCCTCGGAGTTTTGCCTCGGAGTTTTTCGGGTCTGCTGACTTCAGTTATGGAGGGGACAAGAGCTGCATCTGAAGCCCCTGCCAAGGACGACATCCGATTCTTTGCCGAAGCAGGAGCTTGCAAAGGCCAAGAAAGCCAACAAGGGCAAGAGCCCAGCCAAGAAGACTGGAGTGCCTTGAGCTTCAGAAGTCCAGTACAGAAGGTGAGTAATGTGACGGCCAGTCCAACAGTACATTTGCAGTTTGTTGCGGGAACTCGCGGTGCTGAGCACCAGAGAGATGACAACATGCATTAATAGAACCTGAGCTTATTCGCATCATGCGTGCTGGTTTACCCACTGCTGGCGCAAGGGACAGACGCGCGGCCTTGATATTTGAACGCCCACC